TTCGTCCTGCTCCTTCTCCTCCACCTGTGGGAGAGACAGGCACAAATCCTTGGTGCATTATGCTTGTGTCTCTGGGCAACATACTTCGTCTCTCTCTAACCAGAAGTACAGCAGGTACAGGGGAAAGTGTTAGGGTTCAAATGCTGATATATCAGTACTCCCCCAGGGTGAAGAGTATATGTTTGACCACAGGTAACCGTAATATCATTATTAATAATTAATTAATTAATTATTATTAATAAATATTTCAAACTGAACAATGCATTTTATCAGAGTGCATTACTCTCTAGAACAAACCTGTGCTTCACCTATGAAAGGCTTATTTGCAATAATTAAATATCTATAAATGCTGATAAAACAATAATCATCATGGATAAAATTGGAAGAAGTTAAATGATTTAAAAACCCTACGTGTGGGGCCCACCAAGCAACATTGGCTAGAAGAAAACACCTTGTTTTTTACAGCCAGACACTGATCATATGTTAAAAGTAACATTAAAACTGAGAACAAAGTGGTGTAAAAGCAGTGCTTGGAGGTTTTTTGGAACCACATGGAAGTATCAAAGTTTTGGTGTGGCCCTCGGTGTTAAATCAAAAATTCACTTTGGCCCTCCATCCGATATTTTTGCCCACCCCTGTTGTACAGGGACATTTTCCCCTTCTGCCAAACAGACTCATTACGTTTGAGAGTTGAGTGAAACAAAATTATGAATTATGACAAGTACAGTATGTTATCTAGGGACAATGTAACTAAAAATCCTGATGTTAATGTCATTTGTTCTAGACTTTAGACTATGTATTTATGGGTCTATGATAAATTTCCATAGTCTACTGTCTATTTTTGTACGTCCCTAATTAGGCAGAATTTCCGTAGCAACTACTACGGAAGTTCCAAAGTACTTGAGAAGCCCTGAATAACCACAACTTTATAACGACTTTAGTTTAAGAGATGTTTTTTTGTTAGCAGGAGAGGATCCAGCATTTATAAGAGGTGGGTTCAAAATGTTTCCAAAACAGGGGTCCTCCCGGGAAAATTTTGATTCCTAGATGGCCGGAAATGAGCTTTCCCGACTTCTGATTAGTCCTTTAATGACCTTTAAGTTCATCAAAATTCAAGGTTTTCCCCTCTTGAGAAAAGGTCAGTTAATTTTATCTCATTTTTTAGGCCTATCATAGAGGAAAAAAATCAAAGATAGCCAATATATCATTATAATCCAACAACACTAGTAGTTAGATATGTAGTCTTTCTTCCATGGATCGATGAACCGATAGGCCTGAAGAACGCACTTTCGTACATAAATTATTACGATGGTGAACCAAAAACAGTGTGTATAATTTATTTAACTGAAAACTAGTTGGGCTAAGCCTAGTTTGTCTGATCTTCCAACCTAAGCCTAGGTAGGTTAGCATGCTTTTTGTAAGCCAGGACCCAGTTGTATTTTGTTACGTTTCTTCACAAATGGGGGTTCGTCCTAACCCCTTGAACCCCCCCCTTGGATCCGCCACTGGTTAGATGAAAAATGACGATTTATTTATTTATTAATCGTCAACCCAGATAAAACAAACCTTGTGAATGTAGGAAAGTGCATATCTGGGCATCTGAAAATTGTTTTTGCCTTGGCAAATTATATCGTTAATGGCCCTCTCCATTTTAACAAAAAGCTGGAACTGCTCCTGTTGGTGCAATAGTAACAGTCAGTAAACTTATACTTGGATTTAAATTATATCATGTCCTGAGAGGTCCACAAATGCAAAAAGGTTGGAAACCACTGTCCTCAAACTGTGTCAGTTGGGACAGTGGTGGCACCAGCAGGGGAAAGGCCTAGACCCCACTGTCGTCCGACGAACGACTAGGTCGTAGGAACAAAAAGTTAAAAAAAAATAATCTGCCTATCCAAATAATGCTATTTGGTTGCCAATCCCTAATATTGTGGTCTAAAAACACATGTAAGACCAAATTAAGCCATAAAAACTCTCCCCATGAACCCCAAAAGGGATTTTTTTAAATCTGGCCTTCGACCGAGGCTTCGTCACTGCCTTGGTTCGGACCCCTCCGTCGGACCCCTTGTTTGCAAATTTCTGCGCCACCGCTGAGTACACAGTATTGTATGTATTTTACAGTAATTTGAAATAATTTACAAAACGCCTCAGAACAGCTTAAAATAGGCCGAAATTGACCAGTTTCTTTATTAGGCAGCAGAGCAGGGCTAAGCCCCTGACTCAAACAAGGCTTCAGACACCTGTTGGACAAATCTGGCGCAGCCACTGAGTTGAGGCAGTCCTTCATGGATCTCCATGCTAAACCAGCTAAACTGACAGAATGTCATAGAACGTCATAGAGTGGCATCGGTTCAGTTAGTTATCAACAGAGTTAGTGGGTCATTGATCATAACACTCCTTATCTGCACTATAAGGACGGTAGGGTCTTTACCACTTCACTTACAAACACTCCACTAGTTTAACAAACGTATCTCCATCACGTTGCTGCACTGAAGCCACACCATATTGATCCATTTATGCCGATCCTATCAAATAGTATAAGGACACATATTTGCTTACCAGGAAGGTATCTAATACTTATGCCTGGAATCATGAACCTATTCTGGAATGTAGCTCACTTTTCTTCATCCTAAAAAAAATCTGACCATTGTACTAGAAGACGTCAGGCATCACGTGATGACAAACAATTATTAATTGCGGCCCAATTAAGATATAAGTTGAAAGTTTAGTAGCGGTAATTGGGGCGGTTAGTGGAAGTCAACAATAAAAAACTTCACCAAAGACGATGAAGAGAACGAGCAGGATGCCGGATGATAAAATGATGCTGAATGCTGATGATATGACGATTAATTATGATGATGATGATGATGATGATGATGATGATGACGATGATGATGATGATGGTGGTGGTGGTGATGATGTTGGTGATGAAGATGATGATGGTGATGAAGATGATGATGGTGATTAAGATGATGATGATGATGATGATGTTGATTTTCAATGATTAGGCCTATGATAATAATGATGACGAAAATGATTATGATGATGATTCATAGTTTTATTTATGCATTGACGACATTCAATGATTGACAGTTCACAGACTGTCAACCATTATTATCATTGTTATCAGCCAGTGATCTTTGCAAATAATATAGGAAGAGTTATTATCTACACGAATGTTAATTGACTCAGAAGATCATTTCTCGTTGGATTTATAATGGAAATATTATGATAATATAAAAACAAAACAAGGTTGCATGTTTCAAGTTTTAGCCCATATACACAGATCGATAATATTCTTAATATTAAAACTTTAATAAAAGATATAATCATTTGTTAAAATAATTAGTCATATTTTTGTTTATTTAAAATAGCACGATTAATTAAAATGATGGTAGATACAGTAGATGTACTTTGAAACTTAGATGCACAAACGCCGAAGTTTTTCTTCAGCTGAACACTTGAGGGCGACACACATGTTCTTGTAACGCGTATTCACAGTCTCGATGCCTATTATAAAAAATTCTTTTCATGACTGTAAATATACGAATTTAGTTGTATTTATATGCTGGCAGTCAAGAAAGGCGACTATTTTTTTATATGTCTGATTTATATCTTCGTAAACGTATAATAATTAATTGTAAATGATTTTCTTCAGCGGAACACATGAGGGCGACAAATTCTTATAGCGTATTTTATATAGCGTAAATTTAACTAAAATAAATATCAAATTTCTCTATCTTCTATTTGAGTATTTATTTTAGTTGTATTATATGCTGGTAGTCAAGAAAGACGACTATTTTTTTATATGTCTGATTTTAATATCTTCGTATGGGGTGCCATGCGCAGCAAAAGTCTATGTTATAAATTCAAAATGTAATTGCAAAATTCAATGTCTAATTTATCAAAACATAAGTCTAATTTTTCAAAATGTAGGTCTAGTTTCCCAAAACGAAGTTCAAATTTTTCAAAACGTAGTTTAATTTTTTCAAAATGTAGGCCTAAATAAAATTTCAAAACGTAGGTCTGACTTGATCAAACGCCCTCTTCAAATTCTGTTCCGAACGTAAATCAAAAACTACCCAAGCATGACTGGTTTGATTTAGATTTTACAACATCAAAACTAGCCAGCCCAGCATGACGGGGCGCGCCGTACGGTTCCAGAAGCAATTTTCGCTCTGTCCAATCTCATGAACAATGCTTCCCAACGCGTGTGACGGTACCGGCGATCACGGGGAGCGCAGCCAGCGGGATGCCGGGGGTGGTGGCTGGTCCCCCGTAAGAGAGGGCTCCCCCCACGTCGAGGAGAATAAAAATTATATTTATTTTCTAATAAAATCTAAAACCGATTAAATAAGCCTTTGAAACCCCTAAGTTGTCAAAATCTTCGGGCTTCTCCCCCTGGACCACTTTCGAAACCTTTTAATCGAAGCCCGACCTCTCCCACATTGCTAACAGTATAGAAAATATTACAAGTATATATAGTACATAGGTGGCTACATTATAAGAAATAGTGACCAATGACATAAGCTTGTCAAAAAATATGACCAATCAAACGTGAATATATAACAAAAGATCACAAAACAAAGAGAACAAAGGATGCAAATGCTTCATACTACATATATATGTATATGGTGAATTGTTTAATGGCCAATTAGTCAAAAGATGAGTGAAAATGGCTCTCCTGATTAAAAATAAGTTAGGCATATAACTAGAGATGCAAGTTACTTTAGCCCACTTTGGTTTTCTGTTCCAGAGAGAGGATTGTCTTTCATTGTAAAGATTTAAGTACTAGTTCATAATCAGAGAGAATTAGAAACACAATGCACATTTCAATGATGAGATCTTTTACAGATGAATAAATAAATCCATAATGATAATGATAAATACCACTACATCGCCACCTATCGGTAACTAATATTAAGAATAAAAAGTTAGTCGAGGAATGACGTAGGCGATGCAATAATAAGTTTGGTCTCATGTCAAAGTTCAAAGTGAGTTTTGCTGGTGCCTGGAATTTATAGGCGCGGCGAGTGTTAGTGTTACACTTGATTTTCGTCTCGCTTCCAGAAAAGAACCACATTGGCTTCTAAGAAGTTCTTCCCGGTTAGAGAGGGAAGAGATTCACAGCAATCATGTCTTTGACCGTGATTGTTGTGAGTGCCTCCAACCTTCCGAATGTTGAAAAACTTGGCAAAAGCGACCCGATTGCTTCGGTGGAATTCCAAGGTGAGACTTTCTTGTTTAATCTGGTAGGACGGGATCGGCTCAGCCATCTCGAAAGGTGTGTAAAACACCGGCCGGTTTATGTTGGTATATGTAAACGTTGTACTCTGGGTAGGCCAGTATAGGCCTGTACTCTTATAGGTCTACATTAAGTAGTTTAAACGTTTTGTATCAATTATAGGCCTATTGTCGGCGTATGAAAGTACCTTTTACTATCATTTACATTATGCCTACTTTGTATAACGTATTCTGCTCTATTATAATTCTTGCTCTCACGCAGGATCGAGAAAGAAGACTGAAGTTATAAAGGATGAATTAAATCCGACATGGAATGCGGTGAGTAGGCTTACCCTTGTTATTGTTCATTTATTATTATAACTTTGTTTTTTTTACTAGGCGGTTTACGATGAGTGTGATGTTTTTTTCCAGTCCAATCATATTAAATAACAGAAAGGGCCAGTAAGAGTAAACAAAATGGCAGAAAATGAATATTACTTTTAATGTCTATTCTTCTGATATACTGTCTGTAGTGTATTAAGATAGTGAGACTGTTTAATGATGGTTATGATCAAGCTAGTACCACAAATCAATATCTTTAATTTGCATAAAATTGTCAAAACATAAACATGGTGTATTTTAATGAGGTCTCAAGGCATTTTGACATTTTTAAATATTATTTTTAAACCTTGACTTGCATGCAAAGTAGGCCAAAACCCCTAATATAGTAGGAGGGGGAAAATGTGTTCCATTAATAATAATTGGATGTCCCCTAAATGGGGACACTTAGGGGATACTTATATAGCTGAACATCTCAGGTGGCATAGGTAAATACCAAAAACCCTACCTCCCAGCATGCTGTTTTGCATTGTCACACTTCCACGAAACAGAAAAGAATAGTGCTTGGTCTGTCTGGTGTGGACTTGACCCCCCTTCTCTGCTACCACTACCAGTGTTTGGTATTTTACTCCAGATAGGCCTACTCTCGCTTGTGAGTCACAAACCTGTGTCAAATTACACAAGCAGCCAGAGTGAACAAAATGTTCAAGTTGCTCATGAATGTTTAAATGTTTATCATAAAATTTAAATTGCCATAATAAATGTAAATAATCATGAACATAAACTTTAACATAATCCTTTGTATTATTAAGTTTAAAAAGAAGGAAGTGGATATATTTACGTGACCGTAAACAAATCAGTAAACGATATATCTACGTGAAATAAATAACGCATGCACAGTCATACTTTAATAAACTTACATGGTTCACTCGATCGCAATTAGTGTCAGCCGAAGCCGCGGTGCGCAAGCCTACAACGGCACAGATTTCATTAAAAGCCTAATTTTGTTTTTATTAAACTTAATTTAGTTTCCTACTATAGTATGTAGTTTAATCAATTAATATATTATTAAATCATTGTGTTAACTTTTCAAATAAAAGTGATATTATCAGCTGGAAATATTTTTGTTCTTGTCATTTTACTTGCGTCATATGTATGACACTTGGCAAAGTACAATATTACTAGGCCTACGCAGGTTCCCTGCTAAAACTAGCACTCAATTACCTCAAAATTAAAATGATATTCTCTAGGCCTAAGCCTGTATTGTTGTACGATAGTCAGTCATCACAAAGTAAATAACATTATGTTTTCATTCAAACACATTTACCAACGTCATCACTAAAAAAACAGCATTGTTTACATTCTTTAGTCAGTTCGTTGAGCCTCGAGCGAGCGAGAAGAACATCCGAGAAAGACCACATTTAGAGAGACTTTACGAAAGAAATATGCTATGCAGCAAAAGTAAAGTGTTTTCTCTAAGATATTTAATCATTACGAATAAAGTAAGACAAAACAAATATTTTTAATGTTTTATTCAAACACTCTAACAAAAACAACATTGGCAGTTAATTTCAATGAAATACCATGCTGTGCATGTGTCTACAAAGTATGGATGCAAAGAGCGTGTGGAATAAACAGCCTCACTTGTACATTGTGGTCATGACGTTAGAGTGAAAAGAATACAAATAGGCTTATTTCTAGCTCATTATCAAAATGATTCAATGATTTATTTAATGATTGAAGTGCATACTACTGTAGCAAATTTAATATGTTTAATAAGAACGAAAAAATTATAATTATCAAACGTCAAACCCTGTCGTAAACTGTTTACAAAAAATCATTCAACCAATTCAGGAATTTCCCCATGTGCTTTGGCGTCGACTCGATTGTGTGTTGTTGAATAATGGTTTTTTTAAAGAGCAGAAACTTCTTTGTACAAAGTTTGGTCAAGTTAATGTAATTTAACATGACTATAAACACTTACACGTTTAGGGTATTTGATAAACATATGGCTAACATGGATTCATGGAAACTTGCCAACAAAAGGGCCTTAGCAAATCAGTGCCGTGGTGAGCTTGGGCACCGTGGCTTGGGCCGACGCTAATTTCAAGTCCTGAGAGTTGAACCCAATGTACATTTAATTAGAAGCGATAAATTTACTTGACCGATAATGTAAGTTTATTGAAGTGTGAATGCGCATGCGCTCTCTGTTTTACGTGAATATATCGTTTCCAGATTTGTTTACGGCGACGTAAATATATCCTCTTCCTAAAAAGAAATGAAAGCTATAAAAAAGAAATTATGAATTCTGAAGTCCATAGCACAAAAATAAGCAAAAAACCTTAAACCAGTGTGACATTGTGACAGACGACATGATTCGATCTTCATGACATCCGCTGCTATGATTTGATAATATTACAAAGTGCTCATATTCAAGATACTAATGATTTAACTGGAAATATTAGTTACCGTATTTATTCGAATAAATGCCCAGGGCGTTTCTTGTTGCTAAGGGTTTTGCCTTGAAGAAATGCCAATGCCAAGAAGGTACTAAAATAATTAATTGATTTCTGTATCGGCATGTATTCGGCCCCCGGACCCCGTCCGGAGGCCCTTATCAGCCACCTGGCGCCTCCCAGCCTAGTTGCTTGCTGCGCTCGCAAATATTGACCCCCTCTATTTTTAACCTGCCTGCGCCCCTATGGAGAATTTATTCAAAGAAAAACTAAATGCCTCAAGGCATTTATTGGAGGCAGCCGTTTATTCCAAATGAGGCACTATAGGGAGCGTTTATTTGAAGAAATAAGTTAATTCATTTTTGTAGTAATCATTATACATACGGTATGTGCGACTTCTTTATGTAAGTCCCATATACTTCGGTTACTTGAGTACCTACTCTTGTAATACTCTATTCTTTGCATCCTTAGGAGTATACTTGTTTATGCAAGTTGCTTGCTCATACAAAACCCATATTTAATGTACATGGCCCTGAATTGTAAATTTTTAATTTATATACTCTATTTGAAAGATAAAATAATGGATATTTAAATAATTTAAAATGGTTTAATGCTTAAATACATTTTAAATTTCATTTGTACTATTTATATAATATCGTAATTATGTAATATCAAATTTTAAAAATGAAGTTATTTGGTCATACTACAATGAATGTACACTGAAGTTGGCTTTAGAAACAAAACAAAAATAAGTACAATTTCAACTAGTAATTTGTTCAGTGGTGTGATGGTGGAGGGATAGAAACTTTGTAGAGATCTGCCCTTTGCACTGTCTAGCGATATATATTCGCTTTATATCAACTGAACAAAATGTCGACAAGGTGATTTGTATCCCCAGTAATCAGCAATTGCTTTCTTAGCCATCATCATTGTAGATGGCTTCTAACAAATTTAATAAATGTTAGTGGACATTTGAAGTTTATTTTGGTGTGAATAACCTAACGGGTCAACCCATTGAGGTCACCAAACTCGCTCACTTGCTCGTACTTTACTTCCATAAAAAGACCTGCTGTTACCAAGTGAAAGTCAGTAACACGATTTCCTGCCTCTTGCTTAGCTAAGAGATGACGTGTAGGAAGTAAACAATCTTCTATAAATTTAATATCACTTCCATGATGCTGAGATGCTTGAATGATAAGAGATAATGTAATTATGTATTAGCTATTATTACTGCATGATATATACTCATCTTCCTGCTAAAAGCTATAACAAAACCATTACATTCTTTTTAATTTATTTTGTAGAGTTTCTTTACACATCATTTGAAATTATTTCACATGTAGGCTGATTTAAAAATAAAACCCTAATATGAGCCAAGCTGGGCTTTATATTGCAGTGTTATTGATTTCATAAATCATCCTCCACACACCCTACCCCCTCCCAAAAAGGTATGAAATCCTAATTTGAGCCAAGCTGGAATCTATATTGCAGTATATATTATTGTCCCGCAAAAATAAAAAAATAATGAATTTATATTTTAGTATAAAACTTTGGAACCAGAAGAATTCTATATCAACTTATTAGATTTCATAGTGGTAGACTTAAATAATGAAAGTATTCCATCAAAATAATATATAGTGATACAAAATCGCCTAGGTACCTCAAGTTTTTAATGCTTCCTGTTAAAATAAAGAACCTTCTGTTATGGAAGTTGTTTTGTGGTCTAGACTACTGCCATTTTTTGATAATAAAACATTCAACATTTTTTTTTTCTAGTTCTGGATTTCCTATTGTATTATAAAGGATGCATTCTGGTATTGGCCTTGTTTCTGCACCACTAAATTTGGTGATAATTGTCTGATAAATAGCTTACTACAGTAGTATTTAGTTTTGAATCAGAATATATTCCTTCTCTACATAAACCAGGCCTATCCCAAATGAATTGGTGTTGTATCACCCCATAACGATTTCATTTGAATGTGATAATTATTGAATAATTTATGAATGTAGCCTGTAACAAAGTTGATTTTAACAAGGCTTGGTCGTAACAAGGCTCGGTCTTAACGAGGCCGGCTGAAACAAGGATTATTCGTAATAAATATTAGCCGCGGCAAGTATTAATCGCAACAAGTATCGTCGAAAACAAGTATCAGCCCTAACAGCACCACTTCGGAGGGCTAAACCCTTGTTGGCAATGAGTATCTATTCAATCTTCCTCAGTGGTGTCTTTTTGTCAGATAATTTTTATCATCAGATGTCGCACTCCAGTCCACGGTGTAGTTAATTACTGAGAATATTGTTTCTGTGAAAGAGTTGAATGCAGTTGATCTCCTATTTAATGTAAATTCACCCATTCTTCAATTTTTATCTCCTATCAAAGGGTTATGGTCAGTTTTATGACTCTTATGACTTCATAATTGTTATTGGGTCCATTTATAAAATTATGGTCATCAGTATTTGAAATGTTTCTCTTTAAATGTCACAATTTGTTTATCAACCTCTTTATCATCATCATCATCTTAATCCTCATCAACTCGATCATTGAATGGATCTGAATATTCGTTGTCATCATTATAATTATCATTGTCATCACCAGGACCTCCCTAAAGGCAACTGAAGTGATAGTTAATTTTTCAGTTTTGATTCTATTCTTCCCAATCACACAAACTTCTGCCAGTGTCTGTCAGTTACATACAGTATATGTTTACTGTAGAACATCAGACAATTGAAATCCGATTTGAATTGCAAATAACGCTACCATTATGACTTGAAACAGCTGTTGCTAAAACCAATTGTGCTGGTATTGCCTTTGATATGCTTTTTATCTAAAATTAAAGGTCTCCCTGCACAGTAATAATAATAAATAGAAATGTATTACTTCAATTCTAAAAATCTATCTAAAAATTTTTTAAATTTCATTATGAAAATATATGTTGCATTTTTATATAATAAAGATATTTAATACGTGTAATTATAAGGATTTTTAATTTTATATAATATAACATATATATTTTGTAGTGTATTGTTTTCTACCTTGGAGAACCACTAGACAGTGATTTGTTTTGTATTTTGGATTGCATGGGTTGTTAACGACTACTCTTTTCTGTCTATTTATATTTTTGTCTTTGTGAATGCCTATAAATTTATTATACTAAATTTTAGAAAAAATTGGAATACCATAACTACTTGTAAAAGCATTTGGAATGTGTTATGGAGTCTATATCGTCCCATACAAATGGCGCCCCATACAATACACATCAAAATCATGTTCAGTAAACATTACTTTCTGTCTTCTTTGCATGTCTCATTGGACCATGATGCTTAGGGGTTTTCTGTTGATTTAATAATTCAGGGTTGGCAGCTGTATAAACCCTTAGAATGCAGTAGGCATTCTAAGGGTGGGTGGGTAATATCATTGGTAAATTATAAATAATAAGCTTGGATTTTAAGAATGGAAAAGAGGGTTATTAATAAAGTTGGATGAAGAGCCAAGATATTAACTTTAGACAGGATAGAAAACTTAAAGGTTGGTTGACCCCGCATACCTCCATTGACCATAAAACTACATCCCTGATGACTGGTATACTGGTATTTGAAAAATAGTTGTATTACCTCTGTTTTGAATTTGAAATTTCATAAGTGGTCAAAAATGCTGTAATTGTATTAAATATAATTGTACTGTAATGATTACCAATTTTTTTTTTTTTTTAACCTAGAATCTTACATGGGACTTGAGTGGAAAGCCTCTTACTGGAGCAGACTCTATAGCAGTGGCAGTGAAGGATTGGGAGCGAGTTGGAAGAAACAGGTAAGAAGACTCAAACATAAGCATGGAAAGATTTAAGTGAAGTTTTCTGATAAGCCCTGCTCCTTGGATGTTGTTACTAAGGTCAAACAGAACAACAGTCTAAAATCATACGCAAACATGGAACAACACGTTTGTGAGACACATATTCCGGGCCCGGTTCTGACGATGGTCAGTAGTTTGACACTCTGGATTGGTCCATTGCACTTACGGTATACTAAGACCTGTCACAAAGTCATTCCAACTAAGAGTCTTGGGTTCAAATCCTGAAAAAGTTCATCAATTATCACTTTATTTAAATGACATACAATATTAAGGAATACATATAAAAATAAGGGTAAATAAATAAAATAATAGACCTTTCCGCTACTTGGATATTGTTGCTAAGGTCCAGCTAAACGACTGTGTAAAAAACACGCACATATTCTTAGCCCTGCTCTGATTGGCCAGTTAAGTTTGATTGACACTTTGAAAAAGTTCCATTTAAGGTAAACAGACAGAAAGTGCATGCAACCTTATTAATAGAATATCCGTGTTAATGCAAAAAAATGTTTACAATAATTTTAAAATAGCACAACTCTACTGGTACTATCAAAATTCTGCTGAAGTCTGAATTCTACCATATAATAATTAGAAAATATCTATAAGTATATAAAATTATATCAATCATTTTTTATTTCAAAATTTTAAATAATGAACAAATAGCACTCTCAAATATATCATGGTAGCAAGTTCAGTTGCTGTGGAATGTGGAACTATTAATGAAGGATTTTATGACAAGCTTTAGAAATTTATTGAATATTAATTATATTTTGATGCTTACTCATCTATAAATTAGCACTGACATTGCGAGATAAATTACACAACATTTTTGTAATTTGAAGGTTAAATTATTCAGTAACTTTTGATATTATCAATTATATATTTAAGGTCAAAATAATTTTTATTGATAATTATATTTTGTCAGTTTACAGAATACACAAAGAATTTGATAATTTTTTGCACATTTTTAGTAAAATGAAGCTACTTATAAATACTGTACTTTGTCTGGTATAACTATAATCCCATCTCAAGGTGGTTATGCCTCCTTTTTTCCTCATTTTTTAAATATTTCCAAAGTCTGTATCTCATTAATCGTTTCAGAGGTCTTTGTCAGACACTCTTTTTGTGTCTTAGAAAAATGAGTTGTATAACATAACAAACATTTTCTTTTCCCTCCGGAACCTGGCTTTGATTTTAGTTATGTTTCTATGTACTCTATTCCATTTACTTATAAGCATCCAGGACCTAAATTCCGAGTGGACCATTGACTGAATAAAATAACTATGTTGTACCTTGTATACTTTTTTGCCAAATTTCTGTGATTGTAAATGTTCCATTGGAATTTAGCATCTGAAATAATTTCCACTTATTAATTGTATGCGAAATCCATATCAACGACAGCTCAATAGAGAGATAAATCATGAATAATGAAACAGGAAATATGTTTGCTCAAATTAATAGAATTCTGTTACAGATATTGTGTTGTTTCAATCAACATTTTAAAACTATAATCTTGCTGTTATTATTTTTACCATGTAATTATTATTATTATTAAGACTATATACCATCATTCCTTTTTTTAATAATTTTTAATTTATATAAGATATAAAGAAATGAAATAAATCATGAATTATTTTATATATATCTGCTTGATGATGCCACTGTTTACCAATCAAGATATTAATTCCAAAAACGATTCTACTAATTATTAGTTATTGTCCATCATTCAATGCTTAACTTAATACAAAACATATTTAAACAACTGCTTCACTTTCACGTATTTATCCGATACATAATATCATATCAATTTTGAATCATTAAAGAGGCAATGTTATTTAAATGATGAAAATTTTGATACAAAAGGAAGGCTATTTGTTTGGTATATATTTATTAAAGGAAATCAAGATCTAGTTTTAGTAATTACTAAGAGAGATAGACATTTAAATAAGGCAAAACATAAATAAATTGGTAATAATATTTTTTATAATATGAATTTTGTTATTTATAAATAGCACCTTTTATTAATTAATAACAGTTTTAAAATTCATTTGGCTGTGTTATTCTTTGATAAGTCATATTGTTTTCAGATCTTTCAAAAATGTAAATGAATGCAATGATCATCATTTTTCATTGTAGTGTAGCAGTTATTTTTTGTAATATTTTATGTAAATAATAAGAAAAATAATTCTTATTTTTGAATCTTTCTTGTATTTTTACCCACTGTAATGATATTTGATTTTTAAATGTTATGGTATTATGGTGTTCATTTAATTCAGATATTATCCATGTAAACTCAATGGCATAATTAGCACCCCTCAACTGATCATCGAGGCCCCCCCCCAACACCACTTAACCTTCGCACCACTATCAGCACCCCATTTTAAAACTTCTAGATATCTTACTGTAAACTTTTATAAATATATAAATATAAATATTCTTTAAAAAAGACTATAGAATCAACAATGGCTTTTTTGTTTATTGTTGTTATAGCATAAATGGTATTCTTTTACATCACTGTTTTGACATACGTGGGAGAATGATCCATGCTTTGTTAAAGTATGCTACCAACCAGTAAAATCTGAGATTTTATTGTATCAGCCAATCTTAATTCTGCCTGTTCTCCACTATGCATTCATTAACAAAAGGGTGTCAATAAGATAGTTTACACTTAATTAAACACATTCAAGCTTACATACTACCTACAGGTAGTGTTTTTATTTATGTGGTATAACAGTATTTGATTTCATAAAATAATTATAAGAAATCATATAGTACAGTAATCACAATCCTTTCAATATCTCTAGAATGAATTTGAAAGGAGAAATCGTCCAGTGGTGCATAAGAAATTATTAACAATGATTGTTTTTAAAAAAATGCTGGTTGTATATTTTCTTAAACTACCCTTAAACCTATTTTGGGAGTGGTAATACTAACGGTGGTGCGCAAAGAATACCGTAATTAATTACTGTATCCATCAAAGTAGTAATAGTAATGATTTACTTAATTCAATTTGGACGATATGGATTGATTTTTTTTACTCTTCCAATACTTTGACTGAAATGTCACCAATTGTGGATCTCTAGATCAAATTCAGACCCCTATTGTTTGCAGCTACAAACTACATATAATATTTTATTTAAATTTAATACACGTCTTCGCCACTGTACAAGTAAATTAATTATATTCTTTCAAAAAAATTAAGTCTAAAGACAGTTCATATAAAAACTGTTTATTTTAATTTAATTTTAAAAAATGTTATTCGGGTATAAAAACATATACAGTCAGTAGTACTAGGCTGACATGACTGAATTTACAATGAACAATAAATGAATAAATAAATAAACAGTAAATAAACAAATAAATCAAAAGCATTTTCACCAAAAAAGAACAAAATTCAATCATTGTCAAATAAAGGTATTACTTATTCAATATTAAAATGAACAATTATTTTAAAAATAAGAGAATTATTTATTATTGAATATTTACAAATTGAGATTATTATTATTATTATTATTATTATTATTATTGTTATTATTATTATTATGTTTATTTTAAAGGTCAAAGTACTGATCTTATACCTACCAGTAGATTACAGTATTCAGTTCAGGTTTGTACTTATCATTGAAGTATGCAACTAGTGGCTTCCAATTGTCTATAATTAATATACATGCATTTAGTAATAAACAATGAGTACATGGTATTATACCATGCACTATGGGGAGTACAGTAGTTACAGTGGTAGGCCTAGAGTTGTGGGGTCATAAACTTTACTTTTGTAACAAAGTGATAGAAATAAGGGTATGTGTTGTACACTGTCAAGTTTTATGATAATATTTGATTTGTTTATATGGATGACATGACATAATCGTTTCCATATACAGTAGAACCTTGTTTTTACGTACCCCAGTTATACGAACCCTCGGTTTTACGTACGCCTCGTTTCGACTATGACATCATTAAAAACCATGAAAATATTCAAAACAAACAGCCCTTTTCAGAACCACCATAATTAAAAAGAGATTTGTTACTTCTGTCTACTTATTATTTCAATACTAAAACAATAAACAAAGCATATGCAACTTATTTTCATTAAACAGCATCGTTGATTGAGCCTAATACCGGGCTGTAATAATTAAAACATCGTGAACTGAACGATGGTGCTCAAAATAATTGCTTCCCTCCTTAGCTTCGTGTGGAAAACTTGCCTGGTCGATTTTTCCACACTATGCTGAGTAGGCATAATTTAGTACACGAACGCTAGTTGGTTGGCTCGCCCAGTGCAGTGCACGTGGTTGATGTTTCATGTACACAAACGCTAATTGGTTGGCTCGCCCATTGCAGTGCGCATGTTTTAGTTTGTCTCAGCGGCCCAGACAACACAACAGTTTAGAGAATTGCCATGAAGGGGAATTCCCAAGTTATACCTTTGTCGTATAGGTAATCTTACAATATTTTCATGTTCTTAGTTAAATAAAAGATATAAATTGAATAATTAATACACTAGACACATGGTTTTATTTGAACACTTTATTATGACATCATAAAATGATGAATAAAAAAACACTAAACACATGGTTTTATTCGTAAGCCTAGATAGGCTAGGTCTAACCTAGGTAACATCGTTCTTACGTTCATAACAGGCCTACGTTTATTAAGTGTTATGTACATATAGGGTCAAAGGTCACCACAAATTTAATCCAACCTCTATTTTATGAATCCCCTGATTTACGTACGCCCTCCGGTCCCGTACTGTACGTAAAATCAAGGTTCTATTGTATAGATATTATATGACATCATCATGAATATTAAAAGTACCTACAGAATAAAGGAATAGTAGAAAGTGGTAGTAATTTATTTGGAAACTACACTTTCTTTAACTTTAAAAATGTGCATCCAAAAAAAAATGTTAAATGTAGTTATATAAATATAATAAAGTATATGAAGAAGATGTCTTCATGTTT